GGGGTTTAGTACAGAATCCCGACATACAAAATCCCGACAGGCCTAAATCCCGTGAACGAAATCCCGAAAGGTTATTATCTCGAAAAATCAACTTCCCGAAAGTTTATAATCCTGAAAAAAAAAATCCCAACATTTTATAATCCCGAATAAATAAAATCCTGATAATTAATAATCCCAAATTAATAAAATCCCGACAATAATAATCCCAAATTAATAAAATCCCGACAATAATAATCCCGAATTAATAAAATCCCGACAATAATCTCGAATTACAGCAGTTCTCATAAATTTTGGGACATCTGGTAAAAAAAATTGGCCAAATGATTATTTGGCCGGTCGATAAGTTTTTGATTCGGCAGTGATAAACGATAAATTTTTCTAAACGTGGTACATCCAATGTCCGTTCTTGCCAACCGACAGATCTTAACAAGAAACATATCTGAATATAAGATAGGCATTCATAATAAATATATTACTGTATTAAGGTGATTCATAATTTATTTATTTCAAAAATAAGTAGGTGTTTTGAAATTTTGAAATCAGAAAAATGGGAATAGGAGTTATCCGGAGATAAAATGAGAACTCTTTTTTTTTAATGATAAATTGTTATTACCGATTAAATTTTTTTAAAAAATTCATTACATAATTATTTTTGAATTATTAATATTTTAATAAAATAATATGCCTCCAAAAAAAAACTTTTAAGCAAACCACTAAAGAAAAGAACGAATAGTAAGATATCGATCTAATTTAAATTATTTGTAATAGTTCGAACAGTTTATCGATTTCTTTTTTGAAAATTTTATCATAATATTCTTCTATGAAAGATATCAAGTTTAGAAAGAAAATTCACGAACATAAAAAGCATTAATTATTATCATATAAATAAGCTTACAAATCAAAATAAATAAGATTTATGAATTATTGATTTCGAAATAACTATTGTTGAATCTGAATTATCCAACTTTATCTGAAGTTATATTAACTGAACCTAATAAATATCTAACTTATTTAAAGCGCAAAATAAAATAGTGATATTGATGTATATTACCTTTGTCATTAGCAAAATACAATCGCTCATTAACAAAATCAAAAACTTAACGAATCGGCCAAACAATCATTCGTTCAATTTTTACTAGATGTCCCAAAATTTATGAGAACAGCTGTAATAAAATCATATATATTAATATACGATATGGTTGATCATTGTAATCAAAACGGAAATGGAATTAGAAATAGAATTGGCAATGTAATGAATGTTGAGAATGATATCAGGATGATGCGTGATGAAGGAGAAAAGGTAAAACAGAAAGAAGGACTGTATAGTAAATCATAAATAATAAATCGAATGAAGAGAGTTAGAATAAAAAGTATACCTGATTCAAATAACCATAAAGTTTGGTCATGAAAATGAGGATATTGGTGATACTGGAGCTATCAAAGCAAAGCATTCGAATGTTATCGGAGATCTGCTAATATGGGTAATACTGATGGAAAGAGCAATCTTGAATGTTGTTATCAAGATAAAGTAGGAGTTGAAACTGATAAATAGGAGGATCCATTCATAGTCAAGAGTCTGCAGGCATAGCTGATCCTAATGGAACATTGTTGTTAGTTAGGTAATGCAAAAGCAGTTAATAGAGAATAGAATATTAGAAGTGTTAATAATAATTATGGGCTTACTTACTGAAGACATAAACAATCATGTATCGATTTAAATAAATCATCAGAAATTGAACCAAATAATGCAAAGATATTAAGAGATCTAGCTAGAACTTACCGCATGTTGAGTAAATATAAAAAAGGCTTTCGGATCCATACATGTTAGAAATTAAGCATGATATAGGAATGGTAAAGGATGAAGATATGGTGCCTGAATTTTAAATCTATTGAAAGTGTAAATAATGATGTTGAGAACAATGATAAAGCTGTAGATAGTAAAAGCAAAGTTGATTTCACAAATGATTCAAAGGTTGAGTTAAGTCTCTTGTCGCTAAAATAGCTGCTGAAATAAGCGATGCTAATGGATTATGTAGATTAGATTGCCACTATAAAAATAAAAATTGGATGAAGAGAATCAAGCGGCTGAACAAATATCTGAACACTATTTTGACAATAATGAATATATTCATGGAAGATAATCTATTATGGCTCATTTTGAACGACAATAGATTCTAATCCAGATGTTTTGAAACTGATAATGAAAAGGACATAAAAAAAGCATCTAGTTATTATCAACAGTTTGCTGACGTGGAAAATGCTGATAGAATAAATAATGTTGGATATTGCGAAATTGGAAGTGAGAAAAATGAACAGAAAAATGTGCGAAATGTTGAATTAAAAGCCAATTCCTTAAATCAGTAAATGTCTAGCGAATAGTTAATAATATGCTTATATTGAACAGTTAAGATAAATAATGAGTTAAAGGATAAGTCAGAGCCATGTCACATTTTAGTAGTGATGAAAAAGTCAAATTTCTCAAGCGTTTGTATTTTGCCTAATGCGATAGTGAACACTTTGAAAGCAATATTTTTAAAGTCATAGAATTGGATGTAAAAAAAAAGGTTGGTCTGTGTTAGTGTATATGGAGATAGTAATTAGTGACTTGATAAGTATTAGTGTAGTTGTAATAAGCTAGTTTGAAATATTTGTGAACGTTAATGTTACACCAAGTGAGGGATTATATCCATCACACTTGAAGTTACATATAAATAATTTCAGTTTAACTGAACACCCATGTAAACAACGGGGCGAGGGATTATAAAATAATGTTATTATTGACTATTACTATGCATTAACGTGTAACATTGATGGTTCCTCCTGTTGGTGCTGTGTGATTAAGATTGTGTAACATGACTGAGATTTGAGATCGTAAACATCTATTTTTAGTAAAACACAACACATTTGATTTATACGTAGCAGATACCTGAACTACTGAACTACTTCTAATACTAAGAAAGTGGAAAATCAGTAACCTCTACATTGAAAGTTACATAACTCTTCGACACCACCAAGTATTTACAAGCAAAGTATTCCTTAATATTTATTATTGTTCAATGTTTTTGCAGACTGTTACTTATTATATTGAGTTTTAACTATATATATATATTTTTATAAAAAATGTTTGTGCAAGAACAATATTAGTACTTTAAAATTTTAGCAGCAAAAAAAAAAACCTTTTCCTATCCGACTGTATATGCATTGATACTATTATTATAAAGAAAAATTGTAAGCAATTCCACGTAAATAATTCATTACTGTAAGATTTGTACGATTATTAACAATCTCCATAATTCTTTGTTCTTGATCAATTATTTGTTGTCTTCGTTTTGGTTGTGGATCACCACGTATGATCCTTTCAACTTCAAGTTCAACAAATTGTTGTTCCTTCTGAAACTCTTGAATAATTGTATAAACTCCTACATGTAATCGACCAACTAAAGTTCCAAAACGATGATGCCAGGCCTCAACTTTGTTTTGAGTTCTTGGAACACCTAAATGGAGAGAATCATAAACGGACCACAGGTGAGGGGGTAAAGAGGTTGGTTACGAGTAATAGTACCATCTTGTAATTCTCGTCGTGGTTTTCCAAGAACATATGTAAATTCAAACCATTCTACAACTTCACTTGTAATCGAAGGCATATGTTGCTTTAAAATGATAAATGCAGAAGGAATTTCATTGGCAGGTAAAAATGCTAATGCGAATAGTTGGCGTAATCTTAAACTAAGATTATCATCATCACCATATTGATTAGCCAATCCAACTTTTTGAATCTTACGCCAACCACTTTGCCCCAAATGAAAAAAGCAACATTTATTTGTAGTATCTGGAAATTCATTACGCGATGCATTAATTGAAGCACGTTCAAAATCTGTAATAATAATTGACGGACTTAGTGCTATATTATTTTCTTCAGCAATTTCATTTAGATCTTGAAATAATTGTTGATAGAGCTCTTCATTTTTATTTGTCATAAGCACATAGACCAAGGGAAGAATTCTACAATTACTTGTTGCACCTACTGGTGCGTGGATCGTATACAACTGATAGAAAAGTTTAGGCACTATCTTAAAAGTGCCGTCCATAAGCCAGAACGTTGCTTGTGATAAGTATCGAATATTTTTTATTGTAGAAAATAAAAGATATCCTTCTTGATCTACAATTGCATTTTTTAAAAAAAATAGATCTCCAGATAATGTAAAACAAAGGGAGGTAGGAATATCAATTTCATCAAGACTTTTTGGTTCTAATGTTGATTCTGTTCGTCTTGCACGTTTGATAGTTGAGCGAAGAGCTTCATACGATGGTATATAAGGAATAATTCCTTCAGAGACATTAGCAAGATTATTCTGTATTATTTGACTGGGTTTATCTCTTGTATTTTTGGCTTGTTGTTTAATATTAGAAATAAGCTTTACAACATCTTTACGGCCTGTTCTAGGTGAATGATTGTGTTTTTTAAATTTCTTAAGATAATGTTGACCATTGTCAAAAACGGTTACAGCTCTGCCTTTACAATTTCCTGATTTCCGCTCTTCACAACACCAATAGTAGGTGTTTTTTCGATTTTGCTCCTTAATTAACAAATAGCCATGAATATTTAATTTGTCTTTTCCCTTTTGGGAAGTCACAATTTCGCAAATTTCATTCATCAGTTAAATTGTGGAAGTATTTTTGCTAATTGTCTTTGAGGTATGAAAATTTTCGCACCAAATTTTTGCTATTTAAATGAAAAAAAATTAATTTATTGGATCACTACAGGTTTGCGTCATGCTATATGAAGTCAAAAGTCAAATTAATTAAATATAAAGTCTTAATTCGATGATTTGACAAATTGGATTACTATAGGTTTGCGCTATGTCAAAAGTCAAATTAATTAAATATAAAATCTCATTCCGATAATTTGACAAATTGGATCACTATAGGTTTGTGTCATGCTATATGAAGTCAAAAGTCAAATTAATTAAATATAAAATTTAATTCGATGATTTGACAAAATTTAATTTTTATTTTAATCTTAAGACTAGAGATAAACAAGGTAATAACGAAGCAATAATTACATATTTTTTATTCTAGTACTTACATATGTATATATATTGCTTATTATATTTTATAAATGTATAATTCGCTGATCAGGTTGTATTTTTACTTGTATTTTTTAGTTTTATTTATTGTTTGATGATTGATGATTGCTCTTAATAAAAATACTGTTGGTCACTGCATACAGTATCCCCAAAAATAATACCCCGTGAAGACCCGGGTATTATTCACCACCTATCTGGCTTAATTCTTGAATAATACTCGGGGTATAACTATATTTAATTTATTACTTTCATATAATGTATCCCCAAGTATAGTACCCAGATCCTCACGGGTACTATTCAATTTTAAAAATGATGTTATTGAATAAGACTCCGGGTACTGTATGCAGTGGCTAACAGTAAGTTTTGTAGCAAATGTTTTGTAATAACTAATAATTCTAATAACTCAACTTTAACAACATATACTATATATCACTGGCTTAGCAAGTAGGTTTGTAATAGAATTATTTACAGCAACTCATGATAGAATTTGTAGTAACTCTGATAAAAACTAACTCAACCTTCGCATACTGTGTTACTAGAACAGCAACAGAATTTCAATGATAACTTATAATTTGATTCAAATGTATACAAACTCAACTACGAGATTATAGAAGAATATAACTACTTATAATAAGTTATCCTTATTTCTTTTATTTCTTATTTGGTATAGCTGAGTATTAATTATCATTTAATATAAGCTACTCGCTCTTCAGATTCATCCAGGGTGACCACCAAAAGCGCTGCGACGTAATTAGACAGCTGGCCTGCATTAACTCAATCAAAATTATAATTTAGCCAAAATTATTTTTTAGAATTTTTTTAAATGCAAAAGAAAAAATTTAGCCTCCTTTATGGTAAAATTGATCTGGGAATGTTTTACTTAAATAGGGCAGGCAGCTGTGATTCATTTCGTGTAATTTTGGTCCAGCTGCGCTATGATTATGTCACAGCATTTTTGGTAGTCACCCTGAATGTTTCCACTTCTCATTTAGCTTATTTATTAAATTAGTCTTTATTATAACAATTACTTATTAAAGTATGTACCTGGAATAGGTTATTTACTCTCATCAAAATTGCATTGATTCGCGTATAATAATTACTTATTTAGTTTGAAAATATAAGTCATTTCTATTTGAATATTTTAGGTATATAATAATCGTTCACACATTTTTGAAACCAACTATATAAACAACAAAAATTTGGGCCTCGAGGTTCTACCACAAAATCCGAAAGCCATTTTCCTGAAAGAGCATAATGTTGACTAAATTGGCTGGCATTATAACCAATGCTAGCTAACTTTGTTAGTATTAAGTCCTTTTGGAATCTGTTTTCCGTGATTTTGTGGTAAAACCGCTATAAGAAAAGTCAGTTCAAAATAGGATAAAAATTTGGTTTGCTATGGATCAAATGAAGGTGTTCATAATTTTCATAAGCGTTTTGTCATTTTTATCAATAAACTAAATAATGAAAATGTGATACTATTATAATTGCATGATATGTATACTGGGCTAGAGTTCATCTACATAATTGGTCGAGCTAAAAAAAAAAAGCTTAATTATGTTTACAGAATTATGAAAGTAATTATAGTCAAATCATTAAATTGTCAAAAATTTGAAATTACTTACATTTCAATATGTGATTATAGTAAATCTTAATTATATAAGATT